AGAGCCTGGAGAAAAGTGGGTTGCCAAAGGTGCTAAACAAGAGTGTCGTAAGAGTATGTTGCAAAAAGGATTGTAAGAGTTTGAGACAAGTCGTCTGAAGAGTGTTGAGACAAACATCAAACAAAGTGTTGCAGGAAGAGCATTGTCAATGAGCGTTGAGAAAAGTGTGGTGAACATTGTTAATATTTTGGTTGGTAGAATATCTGATAACTGAGTGTGAAAGCCTGATGACAAATGGACACACATTCTACGCAGTAGTGTGGCATCAGCTGCGCAGCCGTACATGTCTTTGCTTCAGGGTTTGTACCAGTAATTTGCTGCGTTCTATCATGTTCTATGTATCTGGTCCTCGCCCTTCTGTTGGAGGTGTCTCTTGAACTTCCTCCAGACTCGAGTGAGCCAGGTGGACAAACAGTGTGGAAAATGCATCTCATCGAAGATACCAAAAGCATGAAAACATCCTCAAGCCCGTCCGGCAGTCGAAAGCCAGTTGGTGGCGGGTGGCACCGAGAAAGGCGCCCAAGACACTTCGGCTAGCCAGCTTGGTTGGATGAGGACCTGGCCAGTTGAATACACCCAAACAGACATCAAGGCATGGCATCCCAGTTTGAGTTGACGATATTGGGAAGCTGCATAAGCCAGCGGTAAATACCAGAAAACCGCAATATCACAGTTGATGGCTTGAAGAAGCAGAGTGGGGTCAAGGCTAAGTCAGGGAACAAACAAGTTTGGCACGAGGAGTCCTTTTCGATCCGTGACATTCCTCGGTAGCTGCAGCTCCCATATGCCTGGTCTATCGGAGCACCCAACTCAACATGTAGTTTGCTCCACTCACATGTGACTGGACGGATCAAGCATCTCCACTGAGCTTCCCGGCTGCAAAGCAAGCAATGGAGTAAAAGGTTGCCTGGGATGGCTCAACAGCTGTGGTCATGACTACAATCATGGACAGATTTTGCGGGAGGTGTCTGCAAGTTAAAGATTCCAAGACTTGGTTCGTCGGAAACAGCATGTCCTGTAATTGCAGTATACAGTAGGCCAGAAGCGGAGAAACATCAGGAGCTCTCAGTTTGAGGTCGAGTCCTTGTGTCAGGAAAAGACCGCTGTCAATGACGAGTTATTCTCATTGCAAACGGCGCAAAAGCACAGCTGCTGAGAGCGTCGTTGAACTTTTGGTCTATCTATTCCTGCTCTTAGGTTGGAGGCAATCGCTAGTAGGGTGGAGGCCATCGCTAGTAGGTTGGAGGCCATTGCTATTAGATTTACTTTTTGTCTTGTGCCCCAAAGGCTCAGTGATCTTCGAGTCGAAAGACTTCACTCCATTAGGCTCAGAGGAGTCATGTGGAAGGGACTTAAATACTATAACTATCTGCAGCTTACTCTCTGAGCCACTCCATCTGCTGCAAGGCTTTGCACAGCTAAGGCTCCAACCACATGGCTCACGAATTGAATCGATGTGCATGGTCTGCGTCGGAGCCTCACTGTGTTTCTGGACTAGCAACGCTTTCGTTCACCCTTGAGGTGCTGGTACCAGGAGCAATAAAATGAAAAAGGTTGATTAAAAAAACACCAAAATACCAAAGGCATTTACAAAGTTGTAACGGGTTACTTCAGTGGTCAACGTGCTATTCCCCACCATCTTCGAATACTAGAAATTGGAAAGTCAGTTTATTGTCATGTCAGTTCTGTGACACACCCTGACACACCCTGACGACACACCCTGACACACTGAAAAAAGCCACTCTGTCGTCGTCTTGCGGCTGCGTAGCTTCGTCACCAGCTGGTTTTTCTTGTAGACCGGCATGGCAGGTGCACCAGTGCAAAGGTTTTTGGAAGAGAATGCCCTCGCATGCCTGACTGTCACCTTGCATATTGTGTCAGAAGAGTTTGGGCACCAGGGTTTGGCGGAGTAATTGTTGCATTTGTCCTGCACCCATGGCACTTGTTCCTAGTAGCGTCCTTGTTACTACTAGTAAGGCACTTGTTACTAGTAGCGTGGCACTTGTTCCTAGTAGCGTCCTTGTTACTTCTAGCAGCATGTCTGGGAGTCTGAAAGGGTAGTGCGCCCAGACTGCACCCTCGTACATGCGCATTGGCAGATCAGGACTGGGCTGGTCAAAGGCTTCGAGGCTGATTGGGTTGCGAAGGATGTGCTGGCTACAGTTGAGTGACTAATGTTTTTTGTCTGGTATACACTGGAGTGGGAGGGGCAGCGAAAAAACTGCAATCAAACCATCTGAAAAGTAAGCCACACTCTATTAATACTATATTCCATAATTGCATGCTTCTTGTCCATGCTCCTTCACGTCTATCAGATCAGCTGTGCACAAGCCAAGGATACGATTCGCAAATATATCATCACAGTAAAAAGCGTACTGTATTCAAAAAGAACTGCTTGCCCTTTGAACATGTGGGAGCGATATTGATCATTTCATGGATGTGGAGAGAGCATCCCTGCAATGTCTGCATAAATTCTTTGTGACATCAATGTCTACATCAAGGTCATTTGGTATCTTGTTCACCATCTGTTGAACCGAATGAGTATCTCATTGGGAAGCTAGAAACCTACTGTATTAATCAATAATTCCCTCTTCACGAAGAGGAAGAGAAGCTTCTTTAACTCTGTCCTGCCCTGGCTCGAACAATAGATATAAACAGTAGGACCTTCAGTCATTAGGACTCATGAATGAGAAATCTCGTGCAGTAAGCCGCCCGACTACCGGTGATTCCGTGCAGTGTAACTTGTGGGCAAGTACGAACCCCTGGCACCCAGTTCTGCTTGTAGAAATGCTAAGGCTGCTAAGGTTGCAAGGCCGAGGTGTCCAACCAAATCTTTGAGCTACAACTGACTTTGTTTCCCTGAAACATTCTCAATTCTCTCCCTACCAGGCAGCCCTGCTTGCTGGAGGGCCTAAGCAGGCGTGAGTCAGTGAGATTTCCACAAAAGTCTCACCATACCATACCCTACCATACAGGTGCTTGCTGCTCAGCAAGACATCGCTGAAACAAGAGTCTCTTTGTTAATGCTGCCATCATCTGCCATCCCTTATTAATTTCGCTCATATCAATAGCATCTCAGAGTATGCGGGGTCTCGCAGAGTGTCCTCCAAAGCGGCCATCTCTCATCTCTGCGCTTGAAGTGTTGGCGTTTCCTGCTTACTTGTTTACTTTGCCTGAAAAGACCAGGTCCCTTTTCGGTCACTTTGACCCCTTCTTTGGATTTGACCTTCCTTTGGTATGCTCCAGTCGGTCTTCTTAAGTGCGTCGGCCTGTACTATATACATCTGTACCGGTCTTTACCAGAAAAAGACCTCCAAAAGTTTTTAAAAAAAAGCCCCAAGAAGGAAGGTAATTAAGGGAGAAGGGTCCCTGTCTTTATTTTTAGATATTTTTAGAACTCCTTGTCTAGAACCAAGAGGAGCAACTGGGTCTTCCCACTCCGCTCACCACCTGGGCAAAGCATTTGCCAAGAACTCCGAAGCATGTTCCTTTGTGATGCTACCAGGTGTTCAAGGATTTGTGCATTCGCAAGTTGCATGAAACAAGAAAGCTCTTGATACTGTATGCCTCCTGAAGTCCCTGGTGTTCAGTTGGATGCTTTCTCGCAGGCTGTGTATTGTATTGGCGCAAAACTATGCAAAACTCACGGTTGTCTGTGGCGTTGCAGCACTGATGCCATATCCGAGAGGAGGCCTGTAGCAAATGCCCTTGATGTCAAGAAGTACTAGAACAACATCCAAGGACAAGAACGCTACTGGGAGCAAAGGGCATCGCTACTAGGAGCAAGAACGCTACTAGGGGCTCCTGGCCGTAACAAGGACGCTATTAGAAACAAGAAAATCTCTATAAGACATTGCCACAGCGACACTACCCACCTGACGTTCCGCCCTCTAAAGCGAGGTCGCTGAAGGCCTCGGCCCGAAGCAAAGGCAGAGCAAAGAGCCACCAGCTACGATGAAAGCAGGCAAAAACACAAAATGGACGTCAGGAAAGAGGCGCAGCTCACAAAGGGCCTGTGTTCCTGAAGATTCTCTGTCTCTTCGCCTTGTCTAGAGAATCTAGTGTTGATGACTTGGTGGTCATATTCTAGAGGGGAAGCTCGGCTAAAATTAGGACCTTTGCCTTGTGTCGTCAAGTGCAGCATGTGTGGAACTCCGGAGTGACCGCTGCTCCACCCTGCACAGAAGTGTTCTCACGCCTTCTTGGATTCCTTGGAACTCGATTTAGTCTACCGCGCTGCGAGAACATCTGCTGAGCGGTAGACTGCTGGTGCACCACCTGAGGCAATGAGAAGACACATACTCAAATCAGATTCAGAAGAAGGCCTCTTATCCTGTTAACACCGCTGGCATTCTCAGCTCTGTCTAGGTGCGAAACCCCAGAAAACGCCCCGGTGAAGACTGCTCACAAGGTTCTTAATTAATGACATCAAAGCACTTCTCATGCATCTGGGACAATTTGTGTCCACTAACCCTTCCGAGGCCACACATGTCAAATGCCTGGAAACTGACCTAATATGCCCAGATTCGCCCTGAATTGCCTCCGGCCCATTCATCCATGTCCTCCCGCCTGGCCACGAAACGCCGAACCGAACCCAACATTGGTTTGGCTGTCCGGCCACGTGAGTTCAAGCAGATGAAAAAAAAGCTACTAGGAACAAGTGCATCGCTACTAGCAACAAGTGCCTTACTAGTAGTAACAAGAAGTTAGTAGAAACAGTTCTCCCTTAATTTCCACGGCTTCCTAGAGAAAGCCTCGGCCTGATCTTATTTCAACCAATGTTTCACCGAGCGGCAGGATTGATGTAAAATGCAATTTGAGATCTGTTTCTGGATTCCAGCCGCACACCTTTTTTGGACATTCGTAATTCGTTGGACCAAATAGAATCAGAACTCCTGCGACGTTCCTGTGACTCACAGGATTTCCGAAACGCGGTTTTTGGTCTAGTTTTCTCCACAGGATGACCCAGAAAGCGTGGTGAAGCACAAAAAACAAAACCTCGCCAAACAGCGCAATGCCTTTTTCCGCTCTAAACCGTCCCTGCCGTCTTTCCCTCTGGTATGCGCTTGCTAGCATCATAGCGAGGTTGAAACCATGCCCAGTGGGTATTTGGCATTTCCTTCCTAAAGAAGTACTCCCCCAAGTAGTCCAGCTCGTTCACAGCAACATCTTGCAGTTCTTCATCCCGCGGTGCCCACTCACGACGATCCTTCAATGCATAGTAGCGGGACATACGAATATATTCCATGCGTTGGCGGCGATGCTTGATTCGGTTCCACTGCCAGTGGGGAACCTGCACCACTCGATAGCCCATGGCTTTCACAATCCGCTCCTGCAAAGACGCACTTGCAATTTTCTCAGTGGAATTGGCATAGAACCGATCAAAGTGATTGCATTCGTAGACAACCTTCCGATCACGCTCCACAAGGTCAAAGGTAAATGGCCCTCTCTCTGCCATCACAATGTGTCCAATCTTCAGTTTTGTCAGGCAGTGGCTCAGCTTGCGAACAAACAGAACTGGTTGCTTCACATTCATTGGTGCTTCCATCCTCGGAGAAGAGCAAACTAAACTAAGCCGCAACGAGAAATTCCAAAACACCGAGATTTAGTTCGAGATTTGAAGCAAAACGTATTGCCCGTAAAGTGGTGGGAAATGCGTTTGCTTACAGATTGATGTGCGGCTGAACGAACAAGTACAACAATGCGAACGCAGGTAGAACTTCCAGACCGGATAGTTGTTGCTTCCTGTGCATCTGATGATTCTCCAACTCAACACTTACATGATTTGAATGGTTGCAAGAACTGGTCGCATCGGTGACAGTCAAGCACAAGAGTGAGGCGTGAGGCCACATCAAGGTTTTTGGGGAACCGCAGGCTTTGCGAAACATCTGGATGGCTGCAAATGGTTTTATATCTGCCTCCCTCCAAAGAAGTGAAACATAGCGAAACCAGATTCAAAGAAAGCTTGTGTTGTACTACAGCAGTATTTCTACAGACCTGAGTAAATCGAATGTCATGTCTGTGTTGTCTCAGGGCTCCGGTGAGCTTTTCGAAAAAGATCATGCACTTCCTTGGGCAGCTCTTTGTAGGCCTCGCATGCGTCAGAAAGGCGGGTCTTGGACCAACACAGAAGCCTTTCACAGTTGTTCCATGCAAATGGCTGTTGCGAAATTGGCTTCATCATAAAGTGACAAGTGTGCTTCTCTTTTTCTGCAGTGGATGAGGGGAACATCACCACAAAACAATGAAATACCCTTGCAGTACTTGCAAAAAACAGATCTCCAATCGACGGAGTCCAGAGATGGCGTCCGTGACTTTGCGTGGTTCGCCTCCCGGTGCAAATAGCGCACGGCACTGCGAAGGAGTAGCACACGTCGATGAAGTCCGAGACTCAATGGGCGCTGCCTCAGACAAACAACTCGCTATCTCTCAAGCAATAAATATACAAATATGACATGCTTTTGCTGGGTTTGAGGTATGACTGCATTAAGGGGATGAGTGTAGTGGTCTTCAGCCAACTTCTGGTCTCATATTATATTCAAACCCTGTTTTTTGTTGGGAATCTACCCTAGCTGATCTGTTGGTGGATGAGTTGCCTGCAGAGATGCCTCGCGTTTGGCCCTTGGCCCCAAGCAACGAAAAAGTGGAATGTCCTAGCTATATATTTATGATTGCAGTGGAACTGAGGCTTGCCCTGGCAAGATACACAGATATGCTTGTTTCGGAAGTGTGAAGGCCAGACCAGTCCAAGAAATTGCCGGAGGCCGGAAAGCCAAAAGTCGATCTGAGTCATGTTCTTGAGAATATGGTGGATCGTTCTTTACCTTCTTGCAGATTCTGACTCTTCTGTACTCGATCTATGCCTATCGGAAAAGCAGAAACGAAAACCGGTACCCTTCCCCCTTTCCGTCCAATTTGGATCTGCAGCCAGGCAACTGCAACTTCTCAGCGGCACTGCTCAAAAGTTCGACAACCTGCACTCAGGTTTTAGCGCTTGTTTTGGAGAGAAACTTGATCTTGCCTTCCCGACGAGGATGGGGATTGTCTTCAAGAACATGCATATGTCCATCAAGAGAATCCACGAAGCGTGAAATGCTGACAATACCATGGAGGGCAACCGCAACTGTGAAAACTGCTGCTGGCTTGGCAACGTTCCACCATGTTCTTGCACTGGACAGTACTTTATTGCAGGAGTTGGCTATTCCTAGTTTCCAGCAATGTCATTGTCACCCCACACTTGCAACGAAACCCTATCATTCCAAAGTCATGCGGTTTTGTGTCGGAAAGCATACAGAAGTGATGGCAACCACTCCAAACCACTGGGTTTTGAAAGCTATGAGGATTCCTTCTACTTCTACCAGAATGGTCTCTGGCAAGGTGTGGCCTTATGTCAGCTGACAGGTCCAGCTTCCAGGTCCAGCCTGGGGGACGCTCTTCTCATCCACTCGCCGTGACAAGAAAAGCGCATGGCACAGCTTCAGCGCGGCCTGGTGGGAGTTCCCTCCCCAAAAAAGAATCCTCTGGAAATGTTCAAGAAAGGTCACTCCGCACATGAGTAAGCTGCGGTAGAGGCAGTGTCGCAAAGTCTGCCATACCTGTGACTGTTTCATTCCTTCCTCTTTTCTCCGCCGCACCTCAGGAGAGATGTCCTCGGACATCCTTAGGGCATTTTGGTCCAGCGCTCCGACCGCTTTGGCGACTCCAAGGCCCAAGGCATCAAAACAGTCGGGGGGAACCATACCATATGGACTCACAACCCTAGATACATGCCTTCTCATCGGCCACTGTGGCAAAGAAAGGCCAGGCTAAGATCGGCCATGCATCGCATGCTTCTCAAGCGCCTGCCACATGCCCTCATCCAGCTCCCCATAAGGCGGTGCCAATCGCAAGGACGCATGCGAGAACAACAAGCTTAAGGCCTCCCAATCCAAGGCGGAGGGTCAACCACCTCCAACAAAATTGTGGGGAGGGCAAGAAGAAGACATAATATGAGCTGCGAGTCCTGCTAAGCAAAGGAGGGATATATTGATCATGGCTAGCAGGCTAGCACAGCACATGAAGGAAGTTGATTGTTGTAGAGGTGTGAAAAGAGGAAATTGACACATCACAGGGGGGAGTTGAAACTGCGGGGGAGTGGGGGGCTCTACGCATGAGTTATTCATAGGGTAGAGCAGTCCATCCCACAGCACAAGAACTTGCCAGAGCAAGAGAATAACTCCAGCAAGCTGACGCTAGCTTTCGTGATGAAATTGTTTGCGACTGTCGTGTTGATAGGTTGTTAAGGTCTCTGTGAAATTCCATCGGACCTGCCTCCTGGGAGGACAGTGCACTGAGGCGTGTTCGCAGCAAATTGGCCATGCGACCAAAGAGCTCCTCATGACGAAATCCTTGGTGGAACTGAAGTTCATGAAGCTCCACACATAACTGCACTGCACTTGACTTTCAATTCCAGGCGAGGCACGCTGTGCTGCACAGGCACGTGCCAGCCGTGCCACCTGCGAGGCAGTGGCTGAAGAATCTTTGTCCTTAGAGAACTACCGAGTTGGCTGACTCATGTTTTTATGGCTATGACTGACACCGTTGACGTTCCAAGCATACACCACTGCACTGGCGAAACGTCGTCTATTTCAACCTGCCGAGCTGCCTTCCACAACGATAGCAATGACTTGGTGAGAGATGCGAACAGCGGCGGATGCAAGACCTGAGAGCACATTGTGTGTCACTCCTAGTCAATCTGCCAAAACTGCTTGCCCAACAGCCCAACAGACTTCGATCCTTCTAGGCCTTTATGATCCGTGCGAGTTCGATGCTGCATGGTGCTGTCAGGGTCGGGAACAAAGTGCCAAGCAGCGGTTGAATCCACAAAAAGACTCTTGTAGTGAGACTAAAAACTCCATCTCAGAATCTCAGACCTCCAAGCCACAAACCGCAACGTATGCTGCTGAGTAACTCCAAGGGTGGCAAAGGTGCTCGCAAGCCGAAGCAACTCGTCGGCTTGGGCAAGATCTGGCTTTGCCAGTTCTTTAACCATCCCTCGGCGACGAAAAGCATCGTCAGACAGCGTTAAGCAAGGTCCTACAGTGCAATCAAAACCTTGTAATAATCGAAATAGCATGTTGGAAGAAGTGGTTGTAACTGAGTGAATCTCTCTCGACCTTGTTGTTCAGATTGCAACACAAAAAGCTGTCCATTCAAGGATCTATCTGCCAGCTGCCCCAAAGCTACGAAGTTGCGTAGCCCTGGGATGTCAGGACGGCCAAGAGCACCGACGAAACCACAAACAGCCAAACTGCGGCGGGACTTGGGGAACCTGTTGTCTTGCAATACTCGGAGGATAGCCAACTTCAGCTTAACATCGCACCTCAGAAAATGGGTGAGGGAGGGTTCTAAACAATTCCAAGTGTAGATGCGCCGGGAACTCTGCGCGTATACTGTACAAATCTGCCGACCGCGGCTTGAAGGGGAGGAGCGGGTAAGAGAATGACCAGTTGGTGTTTGTCAGTGTTGTTCTCAGTGTCAGCTCTGCTCTGCTCTGGGAGACAACTGCGTCGGATGTGGGGGTGTCTCGGGCATTGCTCCTTTGTGCTTTTGGATTTCCACTGGTTCGGATCTTAGATCAGACACCCTAAAATCGCTTTGATGGTGTTGTCTCTTCCGAGACATGAGTCTCTCTTTTTAGGTCCCAGATGGGCGGCCAGGGTGTCCCAGCTTTCTCCAGGTTACGAGTATGAGTGTTCTTTTGGTTTCCACACAGGGACTCAAACGTGACGTTGGACTCTGTTGGACCTTACACTGTTTTTTTGTGCTTTGTGACGCAACAAGCAAAGGAGAAACACTTTCAAATACCAGTGTGCAAACAGCGGTGTGGTGTGCGTTGTGACTTGCAAAAATGTTATGTGCCAAAGGTGGGTAAACAGCAGCGTCTAGGATGTTCTTAAATATGGTATTTAAGGGATCTAAAACATCACAAATACAGTGAAACTGAGCCATAGCAAAGGCTCAAGAGAAGTCTTACATTTGGAAAGTGAAGAGCTTTCTTGCAAGATGCACTCGCAGTCCTCAGAAACGATCTGGGTACTTCGGTAAAGTTTGGAGCTTGTTGGTCTTTCAATTGGCGGACGGAAACCCGGCATCACAGTTTGCCGCGAAGCGTTATATATATATTTATATATATTCTTGCTACTACTAGTAAGGCACTTGTTACTACTAGTATGGCACTTGTTTCTAATAGCTTCTTGTTACTAGTAGTAAGGCAAGGCTTATATATATACCTGGAGTCTCCTTTGGTACGTTAAAATGGGTGCCTGTGGAAATTTGGTACCTTATTCTGGGGGTGGTACGTTTTTTGAAGAGGCCACTCTGAACGAGCACCTTTTTGGAAATGGTGCCAATGGTTGAAGTTTGTCCTGATTGTTTTATAATGGAGTGTTCGGGTCTGGGTTTCTGATTTTGGTTGCGTTATGCATGCATGATTGTGTAATTACCAGAGATATCTTGGCTGACAGCTCTCCCCAATCCTTGCTGACCTTTCTCTATGTCAGGCCCAGTTAATATAGTAATCATTACAATAGATTGAAGGCTCGAGGGGTGGGGGCAACACAGGACTGGAAGTTCTGGGCCGTGTGAAACTATGCACAGCGCTCAATCGCCTTCCGATCGACAAAGATCTGCAATTGAAACGAAATCCTCAGATTCAGCTCAAGAGGATGCCAAAGTCATAATATGTCATAATACAATTATCCAAGTCAAGTCGACCTATGCAAATTGCGCACCGACAGATCTTGAAGATTCAGAATTTGAGGCTCTTTATTTAGACTCACACGCCGCAAGGGTCTTCCGCTTTGCATGGCTTGCCAGTTGGTGAATGTGAAAAAGAATGAAAAAGATATGAAAGATTATGAAAGTATTTCTTCACATTCAGCATAGCCCCTGATATACTAGTAACAAGTGCATCGCTACTAGCAACAAGGGCATTACTACTAGTAACAAGAAGCTACTAGTAACAAAGGGCATCGCTACTAGAAGCAAGAAGCTACTAGTAGCTCCTGGCAATACTACTAGTAACAAGATGAGCTTCTGAATTTGATGGACTACATTTTGGCAAGAGTCCCGGATCGCCGCGAATCGAGTACAGTATAGTACGGTATATTCGGGTACGGTATAGTCTAGTGCTCCTCCTCGCTATACTCCTGGTTCAAATCAAGGCTCAGTAAAGTCACAGGGCAGCAACTTCGAGGTATCTGACCCAGAGCTCTCTACCTGGATCGAAATGAGTCACGAAAAAAGCTTGACCGTTACCCTCTTTTTGTTTCTCTCCATGCAACACCACTCAATCCCATTTCTGACCCCTTGGTCTTTGCTGATCTATCTGCGTCCATTCTATGGGTCACAAACGGAACAGCTTGTTTAAACAAATCAGAGAGGCTGGTTCTAATGCATCCTCTGCAACGAGCTCCCCATCGCCCTCTGAGGTGCCAGGAGTCTTAACAACCTCAGCCATGTCAGAGAAGAGAGGTGCTGAATCAAATGTCTAAACTGCTTCTGTCTAATTTCATATTGACCGGGTTGGCGTGAGAAGAAGTCTGCATTACTCACAGACTCACAAATCACAGAAAACTATATAAAGCTCCACAATACCTCCAAGTCGGTTTTTCTGTCGATAATTGTTGGTAAAGAACTGTAAAAAATCCTTTCAGGTCTGAAACCTTCAAGTTGACTGGAAGAACGACAACAGGCTAACCCACTATCTAAATAGAAAGGGGCAATGAATTCCCATGTCTGTTCTTTTGGGTGTATCAAACCTAGAAGAATAGGAACCACAACCCTTCATGGGCACAAGGAAACCAAAAGTGAATTCACACCAATTGTACAAGAGAAGTCTTGGGTTAATCGAGAAATGAGGTGCCCACGAAAAGAGAATCAAACCTGAGGACAACCCTTGCTGTGCAAGAAGAGAACACAGTCCTGTCAGGCAATGAATTACGCATGCAGTCCAAGACTTATGAATGGCTGGATGTACGAGGAACAAAGGCACTGTTGCATTGGTCAATTCGTACCCAAGGTTTCTCAATAGATCAGATAGGCTGCTTCCGGTAGATCCTGTGCCCGCTCCACGGGGCTTTCCCCGTGAAGTTGTTTCAAAGCACTCTCCTGTGGGAGAGACTCTCGGCTGGGTTATTTAAGGAGAAGCAGATGCTTGCAAAACTGCAGCCCTCACAAACATCGACTGGAAAGTGACATTCAAACACAAACCCTCACCCCATTCAATTACAGTAGTTGGAAAAGCCTCTGTATCTGAGTGCGGAATCTCACCTGCCTCAAGATGTCCACTCATTGCAGCCTGACGCACCAGGGCTTGAAGCTCTTCAGTTGTCCATGAGCCTGGCTCAATGCAAGCACGAACATACATGAACACCAGATGCTTATGTGTCGTTTTCATCTTGCAGCATGTCCAATAAAGCCATTATAAACTTAAACATCCATAAGTTATAAGCCTCACTGAAGTCATTTGATTATCCTGTTTGCCGTGGCAAAGGACATTGCTTACCATGGCACAAACCCAAGCCCGCAATATTAAAGGCAGTTCGATAGCATCATCGTAAGCCATAACATAATTAGTGTCATGATGGCGCAAAAAGCCTCAGCCCCCATCTGTTGCTAGAAGATGCTATAGAAGCCCATAGCTGCGGATGCAGAAGCATTTTTCCGGCCTGCAGGACGAGCTCTCACTGAATATCCACGCAAGCCCCACGCACGCCGAAGCGCGAAGAGCCGGGTCCACGGTCTCATGGCGCATTGGAACCGGCGTCTCAGCCGCTTCAGACTTTGCGAGGTGTTCAACCGAGGTGTTCGTTGTGAGAAGAGAGGGTGATGTTATCTACACTACCGAAGTGAGCATGAGCTGTAGCAGCTCGTTCTAGTGTCAAATGCCAAAATAGGTTGGGGGATCCTCCATGGTGTTGGCCACGTGTGGAGACATGCTGAGGTTTGTCCAGTCATCTTCCATGTGGGCCGTCAAGCAGCGCAGCGGGATTCATTGTATTGGAAGCTGATCTTCTCAGCTATGATCCTGATTCTAAGCTCTAAAAACCAAAACAACGTTGGCAGTCCAGAATCTATTGGTACAACGGTTGTGCCCTGCAGAGTTGGCCATCACTGCAACTATAAATACACCAGTTGAAAGCAAAACCCTGTGTTGTTCTACATGATGTAACAGGTCAGATCTGAACTGGCCTTACAAAACAATACTTCTCCATATTAATCTTGAACTCTTATGCCCATGTATGACAAATGCACGGGCCTGCGATGGTACTCCCGCAAAGTAAAGCCACTGCGGTACCTCTTCACTGCCAATCAGCAGGAAAAACTGAAAGAAAGCCTCACAATTGATGAACCGCAGCACTTTAATAATCAAAAGTTGCAGTAGCTCCTCTTGTGTGACGGCTCTTGAACATCTGTCACTAATAAAGTACTAAGTACGTCATGCAATGCGGCGACTACAGGCAATGTGTACTAGACCATACAATCTTGTTGAAAGGTTGATGTACCATTGTCGTGCATGATGATGTGCTTCATGCATCCTGCTCGCATGAAGTGTGACTGGGATCTAAAGTTAGAAGCCCAACACTGTCCATTCTGTTGTTCTGTCAACATGCATGTGTGCAGCTTCCGTTTAAAGTGGTCAGATGTCGGTTGATTGCTGTGAGGTTCTTTGTTCATGCACTGACCAGCAAGGTCTGCTCATTTCCCGGACTGTTTGCACATCCTCTTTCTTCCATGAACTTGGGCACTTCAAGAAGTACACAGCACCCTTTGCAGTCCCCATGACAGAGAACGACTGAGCATCACAAGCAGCAAAGGCGCCTAAGAAAGCATCAAGCAGCTGAAAGGCCGTTGCAAGCGAGCAACACAATGGGTTGGCTTTTTGCACCACGACATCGCGATGGTTGAGAGCACGATTGTCTTCCACACTGTAGAAAGAACTTGCAGCCTTGCAAGGCGAGCATGCTAAATCACAAGGGAAAAGGATTGTTGCCTTCCTCCCGAGTATATACATGGAAGTTCTGGCGAGGGATGCGAGGAAGCCTGACGAAATGCGAGCAAGATGAACTAAGAGAACTCAACTAGGATAAAAAGAAACATATTCAAATGAAAACTGATCTGTAAAAACGACTGAAATCACCAGTAGAATCTTTGGTCAGGACTTCCTTCCTTAACACCATATGCCCATTGAAAATGAGCTCAGTGTTGGCGACTAGGGTCGTGCTAAAATCTCAAAGGGTCCTTCCTTCAGACTCTACATGGATCAACGGAACTTTGCCGTTGAAAGATCCCACTGCACACAGCAGTCCGAGTTGGTGATGTAAGGATCTCGCTTCACCTCTGGGTGTAGAGAGGGATACGAGGCACCTGTTACTCCTAGCGTGGCACCTGTTACTAGTAGCGTGGCACTTGTTACTACTAGTAAGGCACCTGTTACTACTTGCGAATCTCTGTTTGCTTCAACATGAAAGAGAAAATCTGCGTTTGTGTGTGCGTGTTCTTGTCAAAAGCGTCGACCTAAGGCCATAAATGATGACTGTCCTCAGGAAACCTTGGGTCATCCAAATGTAACCTTTCAAAACTCCTCTCTCCCTTGTGTATAAACAAGTTGCTTTGGCAGTGGTGAAGATTGATGGCACAGAAGAGCCTGTCCAACTACGGACCCAAAGGACTTTGTATCCATAGCCGTCCTCTTCCTTCCAATGCAGCCTGAGTGGAACAAGTCAGTAAGATTGGCCTTGCACCGGACACAACTTGTTTCTGCCCTTTCTGCCCCACCCGACTGGCGGCTTGAATGGGTTGTAACTTATACTGTATAACCCAAGATTTTAAACATATGTCACAAGGATAATGTCATGACGGCTGGATGTGTCCACTGTACAACGAGTACCTGGTTTCAGCAAGACATGTCTGACTTGGGAGCCTAAACCACCTCTGCAAACTCAAGAAACCAGCCGCCATTCACGTCTTAAACAAATCTGACTAGGCCAATCCTTTTCCTGCACTTGATGGCCTTCCATGCAATCTGCCGCAATGAACCTTACCTGCGAAGGTTTGATATCAAGTTTCATTTCTGCCAGTCCCATCCCACCCAACATGTAAGTTTGTTGCCTGGCTTAGAAATGGTACGCGTGCTCCGGGCTTCTCTTTAGAGACTATTCTGCATCTCAAGAGTGGACACGAGGGAAAAAGAGGCAGGCATGACCATAGTAATGTTGGATCACGATTAGTAAAGGGGACTTCTATAATGCTAATTTTCCAAAATTATTCAGACCCCCCCTGTTTGAAAAATGGTACCTCTATAATGTTTTTTTGGGGGCCCTAAATTTTTCAATTGGAAGCCCAATTAATGAGGGTTTGAATTCCTTCTGAACCCTGTCCACCTGCACTCCCCCCTCCCTTCCCAGGCAAGCAGGCAGCAGCAAAGCAAAACACATACAAACAGACCACCAACAAGATGCTCACTAACTAATTACAACCCTAGTCCTTGGCTGAGGAAAGCCTGCTTCTTGGCCTGAGCTGCTTCCTTGTGCAGGTGGTGTCTGAGGCACTTGTAGGGGTCACAGGCCAAGCAACCAGACTGCCACCTGCACTTAGCACACCTGCCCAGTGCAACCTCTAAGGCTAAGACAGACTTAGTAGCAGACTCAGACAAAAAAATCTTCCATGTGAAGGTGATTGAGTTCTTATCCACCAGCTCCTGAGCTGCCAAGTAGGCTGCAGAGGTGACACTCTTGAGGGTCTTGAGCTTGCTCTGAGCCTTGTCCAGGGTCTCTTTCACCTGAGCTTGCTGCTTGGAGAGCTTGTTTTGCTCTTGCTTTACTGCCTCAGTCAAAGCCTCAGCCTCTGAGGCTAGCTTGCCACAAGCTTTGTTGAGCCTTTCCTTCCATGCTTTCCAAGCCAAACTGAAAGCCATTCACCCCTCAAGGTTCTGAGCTCACTCTCCAAGTAGTGGAGCACATAGCAGCCACAGGCATTGGAGCCAATGGGCTGCTTGGCCACATTCTTGAGAGGTGGCAGCTCAAACTGAGGATCCAGCAGCTTCCCCATTCTCAGCTGGACAGGGTGGAAGGATGCATAGATGGGGACTAAGAGAACCTTGGTGGACTCAAGCCAGCAGCTCTGAACGCCAGCCTCTAAGGCTGCTAGCTGATAGGGGTCATCCTGATCATTCAAAAGCTTGCTGAGGATGGGATCAACACAGTTGATCCCCAACTCCTCACAGCTTGGCAATTTGCTCTTGCTCAGCATCCACCTCAGCAGAACCCAGCCCAACCACAGGTGCTGGTCTTCAACCTCAGCAACATCCTGAGGGCATGGGAGGACTGTGTGGTAGGACCATTCATCAAATTGCAGGGAGCTCTGATCCTCAGGGTTGCTGCTGAGCTGGCTCAACAAGAGCTTGGTGTCCTTTTTGCTGAGCTGGCTCCACTTGGGCCACTGGACTGGCTGGACAGCAGGCTTGCTGTCCTTGCGATCCAACCACTCAGGCATCACCTGGTATGCACCAGTGTCACTCATCAAGGTGTAGGCTCCTGAGGAAGAAGAGAAGGACATGAGGTTGCCAACCTTGCCAAAATTGATCTTGCCAGCTGCCTTTGAGATCACCACAGCCTCAGTGTGAAGAAGGCTTTCCTCACTGGCTGGAGGGCCTTCTGCTGGGGGTGGCAGGGGTGGTGCCTCCTCAGCAGCAATCTCCTCAGCTGCAAGCAGCTCCTTGTCAGCTTTGGTCTTGAGAGCCTTCTTCTTCTCTGCCTTTGCAACAGCTGAGGGCTTGGAGTGCAGGCTTGGCTTAGTCTTCGCGCTTGCTTTCATCTTCAGTGCTGCCTTCAAGACCAGGGAAGGTTTCTGAGGAATCTTCTTCTTCTGCTGAGCTTCAGGCTTGATCTCTGCTAAGGCTTCTCTTCTGGACTGGGATTGAACCTTCTGAGCCAAAGCCTTTACCAACTTGCTCCTGTGAGCTTAGCCCTACCTGCCCTTTGCTTGGGGTGCTTCTTTGCAGATAGCTTTGCTTCTTTGTACTCCTTGGTGCCCAATCTCCTGAGGCCAGCTCGCCTCAATGCAGGACTCAGCCTCAATGACAAGGAGTTTTGGAGCTCCAGCTCCAAATCCTCAGCCAGGCATCTGTGATCTCAAGCTCTCCTTTCTCATCTTCATCTTCAGGGCGAAAATAGTCCCATGCCTGAAGGTCTGAGATGCTCTTGGCCACCTCGCTCAAATTCCAGTCAGCATCTAAGGGCACGGGCACACCTTCACTGTTGAGCCAATTGAGTCTGTCACTGAGGTACTCAGGCTTGTACCTCTAGTGCCCATCTCAAGCTCCAACTCCTGGGCCCATTTCTGAGACATCAGCTCCTCCAGCTTTCCTGTCTGAGGGTTTGGCCTGTAAACCAACAACCCATTCCTGACAGCAGCCCTTAGGACGCACTGGTCTTTGAGATTCTTGTCACTGAAGAATTCCTGGGCATGAACCACTGCTGTGACAATCTCCTTTGGGCCAACCTTCCAAACTGAGTGGGAATCTCTGGTCTGAGTTTGCCAGTCGGATCTCATCTCAGTCAGCTTGCTCTGCTTCCTGACTACAGTCTTGTCTCCAACCTGGAAGCTCTCAGTCTTCAGCCAAGTGCCACCCTCTGAGATGTTGCTGAGCCTGGCCCACTGGCCAGGCACAACCAGCAGGCCCTTGCCCACTGATCCAACAATCTCATCCTGAGAATGCACTGAATGAAGCAATTGCCTTGCTTCATAGGTGATGCGAAAGCGCTCATCACCTGACACCCCAATGAGGGTGGTGGCTGAGGCCTGAGGGAGAGGTGTTGGTTTCTGGGCTCCTTGCTGGGCTGAGCTCACCTCCTTGTCAGGGATTGCAGGCGCCACTGCATGCTGACTGCTGCTGTCAGGTTCTGGCTGTTCCTCAGGTGTGGCAGGTTTCTGGGCTCCTTGCTGGGCTGAGCTCACCTCCTTGTCAGGGATTGCAGGTGCCACTGCACGCTGACTGCTGTTGTCAGGTTCTGGCTGTTCCTCAGGTGTGGCAGGCACCACTTGCTCAGAAGACCCTGCTGTCTCCCCAAAGCTGAGCTTCCTCACAATATTGGTGGGTGGACTTGGGTTTGAGGAAGGAAAGCTGAGCTGCCTTTTTGTTGGTGGTGTGGCTGACTCAAAGCTCTGCTTCTTTTGCAGTGGTTGCACCACCATCTCAGCAGGGTCATCTGAGTGCATAATATCCAAAATGGCTTGCCTCACTTCTGAGAAGTCTTTGATGTGCTCAGGCTTCTGGAGCTCTTCCTCAGCAAAGATAGCTTTCCTGCCAGTGGCCTTGGCCCACAGAGGAATCTGATCTGAGAAGCCTATGACAAGGTGAGGACGTAGTCCTCACAAGATGCCACTCTGTCTGAGGCCTTCAAGGTCTCAGCTGTGGCACATGGCCAACCACAAGGTCTTGTCAAACTCCTGCCAAGTCAGGAGGCACCTGGTCTTGCTCTCAGTCTCAGAAATGTTGGTCACTAATTCAGCTGAGACATACCTGGCACCCAGCCAGCCAATGAGCCTTCTGACTTGAGACTTCTTGTAGCCAGGCTGCTCCAGAAGCTTGCTTTTCCCCTGCAACCTTTCTGAGGCCTCATGCAAAAGCTCGCCCTTTTGCAAGGGAGTGAGAGCCTTGCTATGCTCAGCCTCTTCTTTGAGCTTCTCAGCTGACAGCTGGAGCCTAGCCAGATACTCAGCTGCCAGATCAGCCTTCGCGATGGTGTGCCCACAAGCCCTTTCAACTGAGAGCCATTGCCTCATCCCAGCAATGATGTCAGAGAAGGGAACCTTCCTAGCTGCTCCAAAGGACCTCTTTCTGCAAGTCTTCTCCTGCTTTCTGAGTCCTTTCAGCTTTGGTTGCTGCTTGCTGAGCTGAAACCAATGCTCTTTCTTGCTGAGCACCTCGATGAGTCCCCGGATGACCCGGGCCTGGAGCTCGGAGATAGGAGGGTCTTGTTCTCGTTCTCGAGTTTCCTGACAGGTTTTGTTTTGGCAACCCCACAATGAATTCAATGCACTGCAAACTGCAATCAACCAATCTGTACACCATCTCAACTCTGGGGAAATCAACTGCGTCAAGAGATCACGGGAGGTTGGAAGGGGAAAAGTGTCACGTCTTCGTGCATTGAGCTCGAAACCCCCCTCCCCTTCCGTGGGCTGGCTGCAGAACGACGAAACCTCCCGCAACGCGCCCAACAGGGCTTCACCCATTTCCCAAATCCTCTGTCCACACAAGTCCTTTTTCTCGACATCGGTCAATGTCAGAGGTGGCGGGGGAGGAAAAGGCATCTCACTTCCCGCGTTCGTGGTAAAGTCGTGGGGCTCCAAAAAGCCCATCCCTGCAGGCGTCGGCCTCTTGAAAATGGCGCCATCTGCAGTTATAGTTCCATCAGTCTCAATACAAGGCGTCCGGCCTCGTTCAAAAGTCTTCCACTCAGGGCCCCTCAGCCCCGTCATACTATCTGCACCTTCCATCTCCTCTGGAACACTCCTCTCAGGGCCTTCGCGCCCCGCATCCATTGCCATCACTGATCCTTCTTTGGCTTCTCCTTCCCCTTTTTCCCTTTTCCTTTTCCTTTCTCGCCCTTGTGGGTGTCTTTGCCTCCGCCTTTCGTCCACCAGCTTCCTGTCTGATGGGCCTGGGCCTCTGCCTTCTGCTCCGTTGCGGCGATCCTGAGTTCTTG